TTTATTTATGTCTTATCTTATTAATATAAAACAATTAAAGAATATTATCAACTTCATATATTTTTTTAACATATAATAATACTTTAATTACTTAATAATTCATGTTCATATACATGTTTAAAAATATTATTTATGGATATTCGATATTAATTTCTTTTACCAAATCGATACTAATGTTTTTTTACAATCATTTAACTTTTTCAACATTTCACATTTAACCACTAACTTTTCTTTCAATTATAAATCCAATATTTAGTGTATACGCAAATTAGTTCCTTAATATCATTTAAATCCATTTCAAACTATTTTCACATTATATTAAATGTAATACATTAACTTTACCCAATTTTTGACTTTCCTAAAACTTACAAATTTGATCTCTATCTTATTTAACTTTTCAATTTAAAACAAATCCCAATTTAACTATTCAAATCCATCTAATAATTATTTATACTTTACACATCATCTCATACTCGATTTCTACTTTAATCCCTAATTTATCCATATTTATAATTTAGTTCTTTAGCTTATATATCCTTCCAAATTTGATTCTAAATCCATAATATCATAATTTCAACCATAAGTTAAATTCTTTTAAATTTTCAATTCAACTTTTCTATTTTGTTTAATATAGTCCTTGTCATTTAATCCTAAATTCACTAATATTCCAATTCACCATCTAGACATCAAATTTAGCACTTCAACTTTTAATCTCATCCTAATACATCAATCATTAAATAATTACACGTTAATCCTCATATTTCTCAATTTATGCGATTAGATCCATATACTTTCACCATTTTCCAAATTGGCCCAAGTCATATTCTAATCATATAGAATCAATCATTCATAATTTCTAAACCTTGTAAAATTTTACCACAAAATTTCCTTATTTCTTTCCTTTGGCCAAATACTTTAAGTTTTTCCTAACATAGTTTCTATTTGATTCAAACATAAATTCATCCTCTAAGCAACATTTCCATGAAATTATCATAATTTCCTCATATGATAAATGTCATAATTTCATGCTAAGATAATAGTTGGCTTATTTCAACTAATTAAAATAACATACACCATAAAAATATCACAAAATGTATAATTTACCACCATTTCATATACTGGCAATTTGCACTACCCTCAAAGAAGTATTTTTTTGTATTAATCTATACACTTAAAAATTATTCCGTTTGTACCATTAAAACCTAGAATCGAATAAAAATCTAACCATATAAGGAACTTCTACTAATTCAACTTGTACATTTTATGGCAAAATTTTCAATCTAGCTTACAGAATCTGTTTGGAGCAGAATATGTTGCCCAAGTGTCTGCTATTGTATCCACCTCTAAATCATATCCTCTTATTGTAAAAAAACTAGATTGATTTAAGAATCCAACGGTATAATCGTCTTTTTCATTCTTGTAGAATTTAGTGCTTTTCTAAACTTACTACCCATATTACCAATTTAAATCAATGTCACTAATTTGCATTCTTAACTTATTCACTCACTTTTGTTAGCTTATCAAATGAACACAATTGAATAAATTGAAGATCCTAACATTATCAACACAATTATCTTCAGCACGATACAATAATTTCCAACAATTACATAATTATACTTTAATTTCTCAAGTCATGCAAAATAGGCTCCTAATACTCTCCAACTTGTTTCAAGCTTGATTCATCAAGTAAAACTCATTTCCAATCAATTCTAATCATTCTCAGTCAAATTCAAAACAAAACAAATCAAATTCAACCAAGTTCCTAACATATCCATCAATGTCCAAATCACCAGACCAATCCCTCCAATAATTTTTATTCGACTTTCATGCTTAATTATAACCCTACAACACTCTTAATATCAAAATCTAACTTAATTTCATCAAATTCTCAACTCCCCTTCATCCACCAAAATCACAACTTTCACCATTCAGACATGAAACAAAGAAATAATTACACCAAATTGTAGAGAATTTAATGGGTATTATTTTCTTATTTCACACTCGCCCAAAATCTTACTAAATTTGATCAAAAATGAAAAAGAAAAGAAATTGCTCACATTGACTATGAGTTTCAACAACCTGCTGGAAAATAAGAGACTCCCGAAATTTTTGAAAAAAATTCCCCCAATTTTTTTACTTTTAAACCAATAAAATATTTTTTATTCATTTTGGACCAAAAACCCAAATTGCCATTAATGAATTCCCAAATTACAACCATGCCACTCCATTATCTCTATTTTAATATTATTAAATAGTTGTAAAAATCTTATCCCTCAATTTTTCTTTTTGACCCTCCAATTTTCCAATTTTTCATTTTAGTCATTATATTGTATTATCTCACTTTATAGTGCAATTATCACCAAATTCCACCAATCCAGCTTAAATTTCTCTATTTAAAAATATCCATATAATTTTTCCAACCCAAATCTACCTTCCTGAAAATTTTATAAACTTCTGATTCGAGCAAGGTATCGAATAATATATCAACCTTGTCCTTTAATAGAGTTTTATGCAATTCCGTATCAAAATCTAAAACCCACTAAATAATTATCTTGGGAAAACTAATTTTCCAAAATATAACTTTTGAAAATTTACATTGATAGTCCCTATACTTTTACAATTTATACTTTAGTCCCCAAACTTTCAAAAATTTCACTTCAATCACTAATTAAATTTTTGGGTATTACACAAAAACTAAACATTAGATATGATTTTGAAAAAAATAAATGAAAGTTTAGGTACTGAATGCATAATTTATCTTATATTTTATCTAAGTAATTTATTCAACTCTTGTAGCCCCCAAGCATGCTCAAATCATCCCCAAACTTGATGAAACCTATGGGAACATGTTAAACCAATTTATGACATATAGGCCTATACGAGGCATCAATACTAGCAATGAATAAAGATTTAGCACCATTAGCAACTAATTGATCAACTGCGCACTACACAGGTGTGGATGCATTTAGCTCCGGTCAAGTGTATACCTATTATTTTGAATATTTATTAATATAGTTTAATATTAAAGGAAGAAGAAAATAAGAAATTTTGCATACACATTGTTAGAAAAAAAAAGATTATTGAAACTTTTGAACCCCATTTTAAATTCCTAAATCCGTCACTGTTTCAACATCACATATACGCTTTTCAAATCCAAGTGGAGCTCGACGGTATTGAAGCAGTGAAGAGCCTTGGTTCTCGTCCTTCTGCCCACGAACCCTCAATCATAAGGAGGATCCGAGCTCTCATGAATCGCCAATAGAGCGTTACGGTGCGATCCATCCCTCGCGAAGCCAACAGTCTGGCTGAGAATGACCAGAAAGAGCGTTACGGTCCGGGACGAACCTGTTAGCCCAACCCCTGCTGTAGTCGTGAACCTCCTTAAGAATGACCAGAAAGAGCTGAGAAGAAGACACCCCCACTGAGTTCAGTGGTCTTTCTTTGACCAAAAAAAAGTGGTTAATTGTCATTCTTACCAAACCAAGACCCTTTGAGTATACTACACATAGTAAACATCATAAAAAACATATTGAAATTTATCATAAACATCAATTGACCATGTTCCCCCACCCCAACCCCCAAGATTCCTTTATGCAACTTTACAGAACTCGTGGACTAGTTTTTAACTAGTTAGACCAAAAATGTGTCTGTATGGTACCTTAACCATCTAATTAAGGATTGACTCAAGGGAGAACCGGTGGGATAATCACCACAGAAATTTATAATTTTTTTTATATTTTATATTTTTTTCTTGTATTTTTTTATTAATAATATGTTTTCACCCTTAAAATTTTATAAATTCACTCCCTATAAAATTTAATAAATTTCCCCTTTAACATAAAATCGTATTTTTCCTCCTTGTATCTAATATGCACCAAAGCATTGTAAGATTATGATCTACTGGTCATCCCCTTGCATTAAAACATGCTTTAGGCTCATTTTGACATGTCAAACAAAAATTTTCACGCTTTCTTTAGTCTTTCTATGTGGTGTTCGTGTACATAACTTAGAACATGCATTCATGGATAACGAGATAAATCTAAATAATATCTCAGACATATCATATACATCATCATCATCATCATAGTTAATTTGATCATACTTAAACATATATCCGACTATAACATGCATCCATTTCTTTTTCTACAAGTCATGCCATTTTCATATTTATTATACTTAGATTATGCTACCAGATGCGTTGATAATCAATATAACTTATCAGCATACGGTAGTATCGAATAAACTGTCGATGACAATAGCAATCTTCTTGAAGATTGTTTAATATGAAAAAAAATTCAATGTGTAACCGACGGCGATCGCACTGTGGAAGCGGTTCACATAGAAGTCATTCGTGAGTGGAAATTTTTTTATTTTTATTTTTATTGTAAATATCGATCTCAATGATTCTAATATAAAAAGTAGTATATTTTTATAAAAAATAATAATTGTTTCAAGTATCTTATTAAAATAAATTAATTTATTATCAATTATTAAAATATGTATTATTTAAATATAAATTATGCAAACATAAATTGTTTAAATAAATTAAAATTATGAAGTAAAAAAGTAATTCAAATAAGAGAAAAATCAAAATGATAATTAATTATTAATTTTATTAATTAAAATAATATAAAAATAATTAAATATATTATATTTAATATTTACAATGTGAGACGAAAATTGTAATACGTGCTCTACCGTTTTCAACCAATCAAAATTAAAAGATTTAACATGTTTATATTTTTATTTTTTAATATATTATTTAAAATATATATTTTTTTAAATTTGAATATGATAGGTATCAGTGAACTGTTAATTTTAATGATAAATACTTAAGAATATAATGAAAAAAAATATTATATACATATTTTTAACCAAAAAGAAAATTAGAGACAAAAAATAGTAGTATAATTTAAACAATTATTTTTATTTTAAACCTTTACTTTAAAATGATTTTTTTTCTTTTCCCGTAGACTAATAAATATTGAGTTGAACCTATGGACTCCTTATGGTGGGCTATAAAGAATCTTCACACACCAGAAAACTGAAGAGAAAGACTGAAAAAGGGAAAACAATCGAATGAATTCTTGCTCAGGAAGAAGACCCAGAATCATGGCTTCCTCATTATCGTCTTTACCTCAGACCACCATCTCCGATATCCTCTCTAGGCTGCCCGTCAAATCCCTAATCCGATTCAAATCCGTTTCCAAAAACTGGGCCGACCTCACTTCAACCCCGGCCTTCATCGCCGCCCATCTACGCCGCTCGTCGCCCGACCCGAATCTCCTCATCCGTCGGTACCACTCCCAAACCGGATCGGACCACGGAATCTGGCTTATCACTGACCCAACCCTAAATTTCCGCACCCAGCTACTGTGTGCCCCCTTGGAGGAATCGCTCGTTTGTTTCCCCAAAATCGTGGGTTCCGTCGATGGTTTGGTTTGTCTCGATATTTCCCCTTGTTATGCTTCTGATTTCGTTATGTGGAACCCTGGAACCAAACAGTTTAAAAATCTCCCTTTGCCTTTGATTACTTCCTCGAGGGATAGCCCTATTTGGATGGTCTTTCTTGGGTTCGGCATTGATTCCTTTAACAATGATTATAAACTGGTCAGGATCGTTTCTTTTAGAGGAAATGATGAGTCGCCTCTTCTAAGGGTTGAAGTTTATTCATGGAGAGAGGGGGTTTGGAAAGAAATAGAAGAGCGTTTCGAGTTAGCTCTGTTATGTGGAGGGCAAGATGGAGTTTTTGTTGATGGTAGCTTGAATTGGCCAGCCATTGGTTTACAAAGGTTCGCTGATCGGAAGGTTGTCGTCTCGTTCGACATGGGAAGAGAGGTGTTTAAGACTATACCATTGCCACCGGCTACTCGGAACGGTAATGTTAAAGTTGTTTCTTACATGGGATTACTGGCTGTTGCTGTATATCCCTTAATTTTCGCTGCTAATGGTAATAATATGAATCGGTTCGAGTTTTGGGTACTAAGTGATTGTGAAGATGGGATGAAACGATGGGCTAATTTGGTTGTGGTTGAGAATTTTTTGAAGTCTTTGGTTCCGGTGGGGACATGGAGAGACCGTGAGTTGGTGTTCAAATATACTGGAGTTAGAGACCGAGAACATCAGTCGAGTATCTTTTTGTTCGACCCGGTTGATCAAAGAACGACAAGGCTTGCAATTGATTGTGTTGATTTCTGTTTTGAAGGTTTAAGTCATGTGGAGAGCTTGGTGCCTGTCAATTACACGAGCTGATGATGATAGTGGAGCAAAAAGCATATCAGAATTTAGGTAATTTTGGCCTATTTCTACCTGTCAAGGCTTTTAGTGTTTAATTAGGTATAAAACTGGTTGAAGGCTTTAGTTGAAATATCTCCTTTTGATTTCATAAATGAATATGGATGGATATCTTGTTTATAGTCTTTTGGTATATTACATGGTGAGCTTAGCAATGGATTGCTCTTCCCTGCAATTATTACATGTTTTCTGATGAGATTTCCTGCATCATTACTGTTTTTACTTCTTTGTATATGCTTGTGTGATGATTTCCATAGGGGAAAAATAAACAAGCATTGCAAGTCATGCTTATTAGAGACCTTGTTGCAATGTGACTGGCTCAGAGAACTTCCAACCAAATTAGGAATAGTTATCGTAATTGGCCAACTCGAAAAACCGATGGTTCTCTGGGTAGCTGGCCCTTACTTTTTTCATATGATTAGTTAATTTGTAGTATGTCATTATGAATAGAGAGATTAGTAGATTGCAATTGACATGGGTGTAATGAACAGATCATTCGATGAATTGTTCGTAAACCATCCGTATAACGTTTGTTTATGTTTGTTTATCAAGTTAAATAAACAAGTATGAACAAAATTTTTATGTTCATTTAATAAACGAACGAACACGTGTTCGTTTGTTTATGTTCACGAAAAAGCTCGTTTATTGACTTGTTTATAAGATTATGTTTGTTTGTCAAGCTAAATAAACAAGTATGAACAAAATTTCTATGCTCATTTAATAAACAAACACGTGTTTGTTCGTTTATTGACTGGTTTAATTATAGAATAATAAAAATTTAAAACTTATAAATATAAGCCCACAAATATACCATCTAGAAGTCCATCTTATTATAAACTTTCAAGTCCAACTTAATATTAATTTAGAAACCCAAATCACTAGATTTCCCATTTTAAATTATTAGTCATTGTGTCACTAACTTTTAAAGGACTTGTCTATTAATATTAAATAATTTTCATAATGACATATTTAACCTTTAATATTTATATATTATCAATTTGAACTCATTAAGTGGTATCAATGGTTAAAGTGAGCAACGTTCTCCCTAAAGTCTTGAGTTTAATCAGCTGCATTTGTAGGTATGTGCGCGTTGTGAATGACTAAGAAAGATTATGAACAAATATTATAATGTAATTATCATATATTATTCAATATCTATATTATCAATTTAATCTATGACTATAATTTTTTTTTTAATATTTTCATTTTGACCCTTAAAATTAAACAAACAATTTTTATCAGTTTGGTCCCTTAATAAACATCTTTGTTGTTGTAAACTTAACCCAACACCCCAATTCACTCTATTATCATATTTTTGGGCAGTAACCCAACTGTCTAAAACATTGGAAAAGAGTCTCTTGTGAGGGATGAGATTTGGAGTGACTTGAGTCATCTAGTGAAGGGTAGTGGGTAATTATACGAGTAAAAACTGAATTATTGGATGCTGTTACATCAAATGTGTAGAAAAGAATGATTAAAGAGAGTGTTATTCTCTCTAGATGTCATCGATTCAAGTAGTTATCTTTACGGATTCATTTGTTCCGAGAAATATATCAATTCAATTCTTTCTGATCGAGATGTATGGATCCATGAATCAATGTTTCTATATCTATCATATTCATGGATTAGCGAAAAGATACAAAGTTCTATTTGCCTCTGGTATTTTTTGAGTCTCTTCTTTTTTGCATACGACATCGTCACTCCCTTTGGCGAAAATTACTAATTTGAACTTAATTTGAAAGACATATTTCAATTCAGACGCTTTTGAGATGCCCCTAATAACCCAATAATGACTGTTTTTTCTTGTATGGATCATATTTCAATGAATATTATCTTGTAATCACATTGTAGAATATTAAAAAAAATTAACGTAGAAACAGGTATAGTTGAAAAGAAAGGTTATATGTCCCAACATGACAGTCTTAATCGCTTAGCACACTATTCAAACATTAGTGTAACGCGATGCAACATTTTCTCAAAGTAAAAGTGAGGCTTCTTCAAGCAACCTATAAAATGGATACTCATGGACGAATGCGGAAATTTATGTTGGAGGATGCGAATTTAAGAAGTTATATTAAAAATTTAGGAGGTGTAAAATTAGATAATCAATAAAAATAAAAAAATAATATTTTAAAATATAAAAAAATTGAAAATTTTAAGAATTGCAACCGTATCCAACACCCCGATCCGCCACTGTGGATAGTTCTGCAGCAATAATGAATCGACAGCTGCACATGGAAAAAAAGTGCAGATCCTCAATGGTTGAGTAAAATTAAACAATTAGTTACTTGTAAGATGGATGATTAATGCCTGCATTTGCAGCCTTTCAGTGAATGCAATTCATCCTGGACCAAGAATATGGTTTTATTAACTCACCATGCTTCCTCCTTATGGACCGCACACACGTGTATAGGTCAACCATTAAGGATATATATATATATATACACCCATTATCGTTAAGGCAATTGTTCGCATTCTTGAATTTTTTTTTTAATTTGTAATCATTAACATAAAATCGTACGTTTGTTCTTAAATTTAAGTTTACATCAAGTTTTAAAAAAACTAATCTAGAGTGATTATAAGATAATATTTATTCAGAATCTTTTTTAATTATTGACAACACATACCCACAACTGTTTGAACTAAAGACTTCTAAGGAGAATTAGACTTGTCCATTTACAAGTGTGACATGTGATACATCACAGGACCCCAAATTTGAGAGTCTACATGATGTAAGGTATTTCTACCTTTAATTGATTGTGGATCTAGGAAGGAAGCAAAACAACCTGTATAGTGAATGGATCAAAGAGATGGCTTGGTGGTAGATGTAAATGTGAAATGAAGGGCTATTTATGTTATGAAGTTGGTAGCGGAAGTATGTTGATATGGCTATTGTATAGATGATGAAACAAAGGATGGTTGGTGATGAAAGTATCTTAGAAAGACCAAGGAAGAACCAGTACTATAACGAGCAAAGACCCATCCTTACAAATCTTTCTAAGGGGTAGTAACAAAGGACTTGGACCCACTATCTATAAAGAGATAGGAACCACAAGTATCAATGAATAGGGGTTGACGCCACAAGTAATTAACTTACTTGATAAGTCGATAAAAGTCACAAGGACTTGAGAAAAGATAATAACCTCACTTATATTAAATGAAAGGTGTGTTTACAAATGAAATTCAATAGCCTATTTATAGTTTTCAAAGGGTTTAGGCCGAATAGACACATGATGGTTCGGCTAAGGTTGAAACCCCTTTGAAAATACATGATTTTAATGAAGATACATGCTCTTGGCTGAATGGTAATGTGTTGGTTCGGCCCTAAGGATGTTTTGAATGCATTTGGAAGTTATTTGGCGCCAAAATGAAGAGGAAGGAGTCTTTGGCCGAATAGGAAGCATCCCTTGGTGTTTTGGCGCCTATATGATGTCACATGGAGTGCATATGCTTGAATGATGCACATGGCAGCCTACTTGAAAGCACATGGGTCTTATTGCAATGCTTTGGTGAGGTTGCAACCATATGATGATGTCTTGAAGTTCTTGGGTAGCCTAGAGATGAACTAGCTTCAAGGTAAGCTAGGTGAGTGTCTTGGTAGCCAACTAGGTGAGCTATAGTTTGATAAACTCAAGCTAGTTAGCTTTGGTATTCTCATCTCCTCAACTACTTCCAGCTACCTTTAGTCCACTTTTCAGTAATTTGGTCCAAAGCTCTCCTCCAACTAAGTTCAGCTACATGCTAGCTCTTCCAGCTAAGTTGAAGCTCCTTAAGTGATGAAATGAGCTGCCATAACATTCATGAGCTAGTGTGAGCTGCTATGCTTGTCCTTTTAGCTAACCAAGCTACCATAATATGCCTTGTTTTGTTTCACCTATAGGAATAAAAAAAAATAAAGTAAGCAATGTGTGAGCTCATTCAAGGTAAAATGCATGATGTCGTGAAGTGTTTGAGTGATATCGTGAAGTGTTTGAGTGATATGAGCTATGAATGATCGTCTATAAGCCAAGATAACATGTATATAAGCTAGATAGAAGGCATAGGACGTTCATGACCTTTAAGAAAACATATATGAGTAGAAAAGCGATGCATACATGCAAATGAGCTAAAGAAACATGGATTTAAAGCTAGTGAGCTAATGTAAACAAACATGAGCTAGAATAACTTGACATGAGTTAATGAATGAATGAATATATGCTGCCATGATATGAAAATGATATGCAAACATAATAAATGAATCTAAAACATAATATAAAGCTAAGTAAAGATGTGGAAACATATGTTATGCATGAAAATCATATAGTATGCAAGTGAATGATAACATATGATTATTCAAGCATAGTTTAAGGAGAAAAAGCATGCTTATAACATTAAGTGATGCATATAGAAGATAATAAAGGATAAAGTAAGGAAGAACTCCCTTAGAATATGCTTTGAATAACATCCATGGTGTGATCAAGTCATGGAGAAAGTTGGAGCTAGTTTGGATCATATTATAGTCTATACTTTAAAAAAATGTCGTTATTTTGCTTTTAAGAGCACTTGGAGGATGACACCTTTTAAAGAAAATGTTACGACTATATAGTCAATTTGTAACATTTTCTTAATTGTATATGTTTGAAATCTTTTTTTTTATGAGAAACAAACATAATATGATAAAATTTGATACTTTACAATTTTATCTTATTATAAAATATTTTAAGGGCATCATTTTAAAAAGTAATACAGAGCTTACACATAATATGTGATGATCTGAGAAAATAATACTCCTTTTAACTACTAACTACATACCACTTAATGGTTCAAATAGTAAAGTTAAAAGATGCTAAATGTGTACAAATCAACTTATCTCGGTAGTTAAAGAAATTGTTGTTGTTCCTAGAGGTTATGGGTTCGAGCATCAGTGACTGAATCAGGTGATTGAGCGTTCATGTCAAATGGTAGAGAGTATTTAGAATATATACTATTTTATAATAATCTTAGCTTAATAAAAAAATGTTAAAATGTAGTGTTTGACATAAATGTGATGTGTACTAACAAGAGAATAGAGCTATGGAAGTGTAGCTAGTTTGAAGGGCCACAATGCTATGGTAGGATGAGATATGTCGTCCACGTTGTGAAG